ATTGCGAAAGATTGTAAGATAAAATAAGCCGAATGAAATATTTCAATGAATCCAACAATGATTTCATAAAAAATCTCAGTTCCAACGAACACATTTTACTGAAAGTAAATTCAATAAAATTTGGATGTAATTTAATAATTTAATATATCATTACAGAATTATTAACTATAAAATTTATAATTTAATATAAATATTTAAAAGTAAGTAAAAATATAACATAAATTTTTGAAGAAAAAGAAAGAAAGAAAAAATTGTTAAATTTATTTATTTCTTTTTCAAAATTATAAAATTCAATTTCATTCTTATATTTTTCGATATTTAAATTAATAATATCAAAAATTAATGAAAGAAAAAAAGGAATAATTTTTGAAGTAACCGAAAAAAAAGGGAAGTAATAGTTAAGAATAGAATTGGTTGAAGGGAATTGTCAGTCTCAACAAATGTAATATGTTTGATTTAATTTTTACAGGTCGAAGAGATTTTGAGCGATACCATTATATATGGTTATACCCTCCTGCATTATTATGAATCGCTCTGCTGCTTCTGTTGTCCGATAAAAAGGAGGAATCGATGGATGGATAGATGGATGGATGGATGGATGGATGGATGGATGGACGGAAAAGGGACCAATGGATAGATTGATGGATAGTACGGTTGTTGTATATGTATCTTCAACTTAAGTATTTATTATATTTAGTTGATTTAAAATTGAAATATATATATCAAATCGTTTTTTTCCTATATTTATAATTATTAAGAATTAAATAGTTATAATTAGTAATAGGTTATAATTAGTTAATATATATTAATGAGCTAATAATTACGTTTCACAAATGCAATGTTTAATTTTTACAGGTCGAAGAGATTTTGAGTGATACCATTTTATATGATTGTATCTCCTGCATTATTAGTGAATCGATCTCGTTGGAAGAGAAGCAAATGAAAAGTTAGATATGAAAATATGAAATTTAGTATCTATAATTATTATGATAAAATGTGCCCAAAATTATAATCATTATTAAGCAATTAATTTTAACTTAATATTATATATAGATTAGAAGTTGAAAAAGAATGAAAACTTATTTATCCAGCTATCACTATCATTATCATAATTAATAAAATTATTTGAATTTAAAATGCAAATGTTTCCATCATTATCAATTGATAATTAATTTGCCAAAGTGATAATTAATTGTATCACATTTTTTTTATTCCCGATATCTCTTATCAGGTCATTATTTTAAATCCTACTACTGAAGAAGTGCGTCATATAACTTTTTTTCTAAATTTAAATTTATGATATACAAAGGATAATTCGTTTGATTATTTGCTAGGTAAATAACAATTGTTATTTACCTAGCAAATAATATATTTAGATAAAAAAAATTATCATAGCAAATAATTGTTTTTCTAAGATAAATAAAATTTTATCAAAGTTCAAATAAGCAAAGATCACACTAATTGTGATATATTTTATTGATCACAACAAAAAAAAAAAGAAAATTTTCAATTTGAATATACAATTAAAATATTAGAAATAAAGCCAACAACAGGGACAAATACTTTAATCGAACCAGTTTAGTCAAGTTTCTTTTCAAGGAAAATAAAAGAGATACTAGAATGAGTGGTGAGAAGGAAGGAAGTTCGATAAACAAACATAATACAGTGTTGTGATGAATTTTCAAGCAATTAAAAATTGAAAATTTTTACTAAGATCAATGGCTATTCATTCCACTGATCACTTCCTCCTCCTTCATCCATCCTCACTTTCCCTATCTGTTCTTTCATCCATCTGTAAATTTTTATGCTATATATACACACATATTTAAATTCAAATATTTCACTATCGTTTGCACAAATTTTAATCATCCAAATAATAATAAATACTATATCTATCTATGTTGCAGTGTGCAAATAAATGATGAAAAAGATATTTTGAATGAAAAATGAATTGACTCGATAATATCGGTTTGAATGATGGAGATAAAACTCAATCAAATGCATATAATTATTTACAAGCAACTATAATAATCCCCCCCCCCCTTCTCCCCCTAAAAATTCAACTATTTTCTATCTTTTCCAATATCCTATTTCAGCCCCAATTATGCAAGTAATCAACTACTAAATCTCAATTAAATTCAAGTTTCTTTTTTTTCTCCTTGAAAAATTAGAATTTTAAATTCTATATTACTATCAACCTATCAATTAATTTAAATCCAGTAATTTAAAAATGCAACAATAAGTCACATATTTCCTGAGTGATGAATGAAATTACTCCTCCAATTAAGCAAATGATCCATTTCTCAAGTTAATATTCTCCCGCAACTCGAATCCCACCAAATTCGAATCTATAATTCGCTTTCTTCTAAACATAATGCCCAGCCAGTTTACTTTGGAAATTCTAAATTTCCAACGATTGGTAATCTTTTCTTAACTGATGCATGATGCACTCTCAAACAGTCGACCAACAAAAACACTCTTCATCCTCGGATGCTTCCTTCCACTTTCATAATTTTCCAAGAAATTTTGTGAGCAATATAAAATAGCTTAAGGTCTGAAATAAAACACTTTATAAAAGTTCAATTCAATTTTTCACTGATTAAAATAATTTCACTTAAAGAAAAATTCCTGGATACTGTTCGCAGATGAAATCGAATATAATACATAACGCATAGTTTCACTTTTAGCATAAATGCTTTTCTTTCTTTAGAAACAATCAACAACTGAGAAAAAAAAACGATTAGGAACAAAAATTACTCGGAAAAACTGAGATTTTTAATAACGAATATCATTTCAGCTATATAGAGGTACTGAAACATTGGATTAGAAACCTGGAATAGAGTTATGGAAGAATGAATGTTATCGACAGATAAGCAAATACACTTATCATCTAATTTAAGTTATCAAATCTCAAAGAAGCAAATGAATTGTACAATCAATTAGAATGAAAATGATAGAAATCCTCAGAAAAAAAAGACTTCAAAAAGTACTGCAAATTTTAAAACTGGAATCTTTCCTTACCTAACTTTCATTGCTATTTAACTTTTTCTAAAATCTCCAATGTTCAACGCTAACTATAAATCAAATGCTATATCAAATAAATTAAAAAAAAGAATTCACGGTTAATTAACGCTGTTTCATTGCTATAATATCTTAAAAATGAATGCTATCACATAACTGTGTTGTTCTTTTCGATAGATAATATAAAAGATCACAACATAAGTAGAGAAATAAGTAAAATCATCCCTAGTTCCTTTACAAACATCACATTATATCATGCAGCAGCGCATATTACAGTCACATTAAATTAGGAAACTTCTGTACGTTCATATACAAAAAAGACTAGAGATTACAAGAAAAAAAGGATAAAGAAAGTCATTGATAAGTTTTAACATGTTTTAACACAAAATGTACAACATTACTAATTATCAAAATGGAGATATAAATACTGTGCATTAGAAATTAATGAAAACGGGTGAAAAAGACACGAATAGCAATGGCAGTATTGCGTAAAAATTGATGAAAGGCATCGGTAGCCATACAATCGTTTCCATCAGCAAACAACAGCAGATCTGTTTTGCTGAAATGAAAAAAAATTTATGGTGCGCTTAAAAATTATAACTTCCAATCTATGAACTTCTCGAGTGTATAAGGTGAAAAAAATGGTTGGCCCATCATTCAGCTATATATATCGAAGAGTACTAACAAATTCACTGTGAGGTACTTCATGGAGGATAAACCAAGAAACTAAAACACGCAATATATTAATTTCTATTACCATAAATTGCCTAATACTATAATTTATTCGTTATTAATTAACTAGTCATTCTCCCACAACGTGAAGATTAGTTTTGTTATGGGAAAGAAAATTTAATTTACCTGATAAAGACGAAACTGGTCAAAAACACTGCAAAGATCATCGAATGTGTACTGCTGAAGGACAGTAAAATTTGAAAGATCTGCTTTTCGAGCACACTGAACACAGTAGACTGGGAATTTACCATTTACTTCACGCACAAACAAAATGTTCCAAACTTCGATCTGCAAAAAAAATCACTAATTTTGCAAAATTAAAAAACTTTCTCATGTCATGAAGTCAAAACCGAGCAACAATGATCAAGTGATCGAAAGCATTATAAAGGCACGGAACTGGAAACATAGATAAGAAATGAGGCTTAGAATTTCGAAATGTACTACATTCATGTTATATTTAAAGATTAATAGAATATAGTAATAAAAGAAGGTCATGGAAAGAACTCTTGCAAACAGACTTTTTCATGCAAGTCAAACAAAGTGAACTTTTCAGAAATTGATCTTTTTCTTTGCGAAAAAAGAAATGCAGAATTTCTTTATTATTATGAAAGAGTTCTTTCGTCCCAACACGTGAACCTCGGATACAGTAATGCTCAGAGTAACGAACCTCACAAGTAGAGCAATAATGCGACACTTCCCCTTTTTGCCTTGGATGCATCCGAATTGACTTATCGTAAATACTCAACATATCAGCAATCATCTTACTATAAGCTAACGATCGTATAAGCATTTGTTTGATTAACGTAAACATTTTTTGATTTGAAAAGCGTATATTTCTTGCCAACTGCCAACTCAAATGCTGCATTGGTACCAATGATTTGTAACCCTGAAGTGAATGTTGTACTCATTCTTCCGATCATAAACTTAATTCTGAATAACATTCTACAGATCATAGAAAAATGAATTAAACCGATGATTAAGAGCGTTAATGAGTATTAATGTGTACTGGAAGACTATAAACAGCATGGATAGATCTGCTTATCTAGGTATTTTTACAGATCCTCAAACAAGTGGATCTTCATAGAATGTTGTTAGTACGAGAGCATAACACTGAGGTCCCCGTGGAAATGCATGTGGTTATGGAGATAAAAAGAAAATAATGCCGATAGCATAATGAGTTTCAGAATAACAGCAATTAATTTCATTTAAAAACCAGTTATCTGTGATATCTTTTAGAAGTCAAATTGATAAGAAATTGAAGCTACTACTTTTTTCCAGCATTATATTTCAGACCCGAATAAATTCCATTATTGAAATGGTACAATATGTATGTTTCCATTAACTTCAATTTCTCCAAATATATTCGAAAAAAGAAAAAAAAACTTACATTAAGTTTATTCCATTCATGGCAATGAAGAGCCATTTCATATTGGTTTGGTGTGGGTGGTCCAACATTCCATGCCACATTGTTACACCATCCGGTACTGTGTACCCAGTGAATACAGCCACTGCCTATCCAAGCCACATCACCTGCTTTCTGAGTAAATCGATACACAGGGATATTTGCCTCCAACAACTCATCAATATCTGGCCACCAAGATCCTTTTAGAAAGTTGAGTTTGTGCCTTAAAATTGAAATTATTAGAAGATCCTTATCCTTATTCTCGTACAAGACAAAAATATATCAAGCGATTGTGAATCCTAAACGTAGAAACAGAAATTATTTACCATATTGGCTAGTTCCAAATCGAATTACACTATTTAACTGGGTCACCTCGAACCACAATCCCTTTTTTTAAAATCTCTTTACTTTCTTAATATTAAAAAATTTTTCTACTTTGAAGAATAATTAAACATACTTTTCAACCAATTCATTAACTGCCAACCAATATTCATATGGAACACAAAACCATTCACAGTCACCTGGTCCAATGTTTATATTCACCGATGCCAAACAGTTATTTTCAACATGCCCTGGAGTACGTGCACCTGGTACCTAGAACCATCAACAAATAATACTTTTAACAAATATGGAAAAGTTTACTACTTACCTCAAGCTAAAATCAAAAATTTGACGTCCTAAATAAGTAATAATTTGCTTCAGAAGGATAAAATAATAATAATATACAGGCTTTTAGTAATTTGGTTACATCAAACATACCTTCATATACAGTTGAACAGTATTCATACCGTAAACAGTATGTCCAAGATGTGTTAACATATTGCATGCGGCAACTAACCTTGCAAAAGACGGCATTTTATTCAATTCCGCTAGTTGCACCCTGAAACACAAATAATTCCATATCCTTCAATTTTATTTTATATTTGAAAATTTTCAAATATTTTGTCCCTTCCTAAATTGTACATCATCCTCAAAAATAAACAGATTATTCCAAAAAGTGGAAATTGGGGAAAGTAGAAATTAAACAGTGCAAACGTGGCAAAACAGGAAGAATAAGGGAAAAAATAATAAACTGATCACATAGTTTTTGTTAAATAATAAAAAAGTAATTTGGCTTCTTACTTAAACTTTGCTTCATCCGAAAGATCAACATTGGTTCCAAATTTGATCAACTTCATTGGCATTTGAGATTCCTCAGGTACAGTAGCACGTCGGCGTTTCAATGAACCGTTACCAGCATCCGCTGAAGTACCAGCACCACTACCGCCATATTTTGCACTTGCTGCCCGAAGTTTTTCGGCTTCTTCCTAAATTTCAATCTTAAAAGTATAAATTTTCTTAGTTAATCTTTCCTACGTTTTGAATTGAAAACCACCAATTATCATAATCAAAACTACTGAATCATTCATTCAAACACATAACACAATAATGGCGTAACTTGAAGACGTGCGAAAATCATCCATAATTCTAGATCTCATAGCATTTCATTTAATCCACAAGATAATCACGTTGCTAGCGGTTTGTTCTTATCCAATAAAATAAGACGATATATTTCCTTATTGTTTAATACCGGGAATATGTCTTGCTGTAGCTTAACAATACTCACTTGGCTGACATCTCTTCATGAAAATTTTTCCAATACTTATAAAAAATGCAGAAGACCTACCTTCAAGCTATACTGGAATGATTGGGCCTGATACTGAGCATAATGAGCAATAGTTGTGTAAGAACGAATACTGTGACATGTCCATGTTGGCTGTCCAAGATGATCAACATTCTGATCGGGAGGCATCTTGTACTGGGAGCGTATTTCTACCTAAAAATCACTGGTTTTTTGTAAGCATTATTGTAGAGCAATCTGAAATCAGTGTTAAATAGTTTTTAATACTTAAAATTTATTAAATTATTAAAAATTCTTTAAGACTAATAGGAATATTTTCCAGTTGTTGTTCAATTGAGTGTGAATCAAAACTACAGAGAGAAATACTGAATAAATAAGTGTGCATATCTATGTTCATCATACATTTACACTTCAGCAATAAAAGCAGTGTAATGCTGAATGCCTATTAACAGCTTATCATCTGATTTTAAAGCTCCTGCCTAAGTGGCATGTCAAAGCAAAACACAAAACTAAGACCAAACATAATAATGAATCGTTCTCAAATAATTTAAGATAGCTAAAAAATGCGTACTGTATTTTAGCTATGCAAATCATCACAAAAAAAGAAAAAATAAAAAATAAATGAGCTCTTTTTGCTTAGAACTTCAAAAATTTTTGTAAGGTAAAAAATTTTTAACATAAAATTAATAGAAAACATTAAAGCCATTGCACAATAATCCAGAGTACTTTTACGAATTTCTCAAATTAATTTTTGCATAAGTGGCACGGAGAACAGAAATGATCTTTGTAGCACAACAAATTTCCACTGAAGAATGAACCTCATGATTTGGTGCAATTTCCAATAAAGATTTCGTTGAAAATAATGAAAGATCCATCTTTAAAGTCTGCGTTAAACCTCGTATCAATGCAACTGAACTATTGTAACAATAATTTTGTAGCTCAATACTGTATGCCTCCTTTCGTGATTCCACCATAATTACAGGAGTTGCTCGTAAAAGCTGAAAATAGCATTTCGAAGTTTAATCAATGAAGAAACAATTAATTTCCGATGCTTATGTAGCGGAGGTGTACTAAGCGATATTGGCTTTACTAGTTCACGTTTTCAGAAAAATGAAAATTGAACGAACTTTTTCAGGTGGAGATTTTTCTATTTTTGGTACTTCTGGCAAGGTTGGAGGCTTCACTTGCTCATCAAATATTTCCAAAAATCCACTTGGTTTATCAACCCTTCTTCTGCATCTTTCCATCAGCTCTGACGCTGTGATTGTAAGCGGTACTCGAACATCAGCAGTAAGTGAGAACGAATAAGGTAACGGAGACACCTCTTTAGTTGGCTTTGTCTAAAATAAAAATACATTGTTCATAACACTTCAGAAAATTTTCGAAAGTAACAAATATCAGTTTATATTTTGCAAGATATATTATCTACAAACTGGAAGTATCAAGGGGTTACTTGTTCTTTTGTCATCTCTTTGTTGTCATCAGTGGTCGCTTTTTCGGCTGAATGAATCTCCAATGAAGAAGTAGAAGGTATAGCATCACCTGTAACAAAACACGACGATTTAAAAAAAGGACAAGGTATAACAATGACGGAAAATAAGTGTTTCATTTAAATGTTTAGAAATGTGAAAGATTTCAACAAAACCTTAAACTGTTTAGAAATAAAAATTTGTAAAGGCGATAATAAGTTACCCTCCATAATCATTTCCTTTTTGATATCGTCATTCGTAAAGTCTTGTTCCGCATACATTTCTACAGATTGTTCGACACCATTTTTATCAGTCTAGATATTAATCCAATTTTTATTACTAGGCTTAATATATTTCATTCAGAGTTAAGGTAGCAACGATATATCACGATCTGCAGTTAGGCAATGGAGTTTTAATCAGTAGTGATTTAGAAAATTTGTTAAGCACTAAAATCCTTAGAATACCTTGCCGAATTTGCTTTCTAGCACTTCCAATAAAATACGTTCGCGTTCAGTAATTTCAGCTTTATTTGCGCGTAAAATATTCATTAGTTGGATTTGTATTTCCACTGATTCGTTTGTATTCTGCAACGATAAGGGAATGCTAAAGATTAGTACATAGGCAGTACAAGGTCCGCACATACGGATTTTATTCAATCAATGTTCACTGGAAATTATTTGAATTGTTAATAAGAAATCGACTTGAAAAACTGATCATACTGCTACCTCATTGTATTTATGCACTGTTATATAAACTAAAATATACCTGAGGTAATGTTAACGTAGCAGAAAGTAACGGACTACCGTCACGATAACGTTGTTGCTTTTGCTGAAAAAATAAGCAAATTAAAATATTAAAAAAATTGAAATCAAAATGTCAGAAATAAGATATATAGGACAGCATTAATCGAGAAAAGCCATTGGAATTGGTTAAGCGAATAAAGAAATCTCGTATTTGTCATTCAAAACCGTTAGCAACTTACAGAAAAGAAAACATACTTTCAAAAACTCTTCTTGTCTTTGACTCAGTTCTGCAGGAATGGAAAGCCTCCAAGCTTCGTTAAGACCAGGTAATCTGAAAGAATGGTTCTTTAAAGTAAAAATACTTCAGAAGCCATCCTCTAATTTTCAATCTCAAACAAAGTAATTACTCGCTAGGTGGCAGAGATCGCAAATTTCCAATAAGCAATGAAGATGGATGCAACTCCTTCTCAAGGACACGTATTCTCGCTTTCAAAGCTTCGGGTGCTGCTGAAAAGTGATAAATTCTTGAATCGCAAGCAGTTGAAGAAAAATTTTACAACTTTTATAGCCTAAAAAAATGACTGCAAAAAAACAAAGTACTGTTTATTCAGTACAATGTGACTTGCAGTAACCCGCATAGTAAAAGTCATTAATAACAGCTATATATAACAAGGCCCAGTGATTTTATTGGAACTCCCAAAATAAATTTTCTTAAAACTTACCTGGCTGACACTTCAATGCTTTCTTAAAACAGTGAAGTGCGTCCGAAAATTGACAATTGACTTCGTACAATCGTCCTAAATCTGTCCACGCAGCACTATGCTCACGATCTGATTGAACTGCGCAAATAAACGCCTGGAGAGAAGGAAAAGTAAATTTCAAAATTTTGGTCAAGAAATAACAAAAACAATAATAATAATGACAAGAGCAAGAACACTAGCACTTCAATGCTTTCTATATTTATTTTTCCAGCAATTCATATTCAACTAATTTCTCATAGTCGAAGCAGGTTTTTAATTCAGATTGTTAGAATATATAACAGACATTGGTTAAAATTATTTATAAATAAAGACTAAAGAAATCAGTCAACCTGCAGTGCATCCATTGGCTGACTTTGTTGTTGATACAAAACACCAATACTACACCACGTATCCGCATCAGCTTCTGATTTATCAATTGAATGCCTAAAACCAAAATAGATAAATTTGAAGTTTGTCAAAAGGCTTATTATGGATTTATAATAAAATTAATGGGACATGACATGCTTTAAACAGAATAATGTGACAAATATCAAAAAACATAATCAACAAGTAATTGAATAACAACGCACTATTCAATCATGCCTTTTTCTATGAAGTTTTGTTAACGAGTTATACTAATGAATTGTCTTCATCCACTAAGGATATTTTTACTTTCTGAAATAACCTCTCTGGTATTTTATCATCCAGAATATCTTGCTGTCTTATCGTACTGTAGCAGCAGCGGTAGCGTTGTTACTGACAGTTCGCTTACAATTCTTGAGTGATATAAGAAAGCTTATTAAGCTACAGATATTACAATTTGTTGACAAAATTCCGAATCATAAGCAACTTTATCTACGTCACTTAAGTACACAATAACAGATTTTTTTATAATATAATAACTTGTTTAGAAACAGCAATAAATAAATAAACCTGTAATAAACAAATGCGTCGTGTGCTCTGTCTTGTAGCTCACCGTAACAACGTCCTAAGTAATAGTATGTTTTTCCACAATTAGGTTCCAGTTCTTTGCTTTGAATTAGATAATTTTCTGCCTCGAATATCTTTTGAGGTCTCTGTGCCGGTTGACACTCCTCGCGATAGCACAACCAACCTGAAATATACAATATAATTAAATTGTTTTTTTTTTTAACATATCCTTCCGACTGCTCTCGTAACAACTGCAACATAATACATTCTAGCTTCAAAAGCACTGATATCGGAGCTTAAAAATTCGCAAGTTAGTTATAATTCTCGAACAATTGAAAATCACCTACGGATCATTCCAGCAATCCAGTAAAAAACGGACGAGTAAATGCTGTTACTAAAAAATTCAAACATTCAAATTTATACCATTCCGTATAAATTATTCATTACTTTTTCGTAATTATAACAATGCACAAATAGTTCATTTCACAAAACGAAAAGAATTTAAATTTAAAAAGTCCCAAAAAACAAAACTAAAAAAAGAACGAAATTTTCACAGATGCACCAAATGGATGATATTATATCTGTTTTCTGAAGTTATATCTGGAAATGAGTGGTGTCGAAAGCGAAGAATACGGAAAAAGAAAAACAGAAAAAAAAAAACGAAAACAGTTGATACATTACCAAGTTGTCTTAGGATCTGTGCTTGTAAACTGCTCGTCAGTTGAACGGAATGGTCAGTTAAAATAGTTCGATACTCGATGGCTGCCCGATCAAGGTCACCGGCGATGTCGTAGCAATGAGCTATGTTGAAACGCAATTCAACCTTCGTCAGGAATGTGCTTTCACGGCTGTCGTTCAGTGCTGCTGTGAAGTGCTGGAATGAATAATTTGAACCCATTGTGCCAATAAATTACTTAAAAGATATTTAATCAATGCTCAGACTGTCCAATATATAACGTATCCAAACGCAATCGTACAGTTAAAAATTCAATTATTCAACAAAAACAAGAAAACAATGAATTTCTAACTGGTTACAGCAATAAGATCACACAGCAATAAGTCATCAGCTACCTAAATGACGATCACTGACCCTATTAAGATGGACTTAACTTTTCATTAATTTGGTCATAGATATCAGCAATTTAGTGCTATCTTATACTTATTTCCTATTCGTCGTTCCATAATAGTAATTACTTGGTATTTGATTGCCATGATTGCTGGATTGTCTAAGTCAGTAATATTTCGAAAAGACTATCAGAAGATTACTTTATTTTATTCAAAGAACTAAAAATGATTATATGTCTCACCCAAAAATCAACTTTTCTCACATTTGCATCCCATTGCCACTATTTTTCTAACCGACTGCACAGGTATATAAACTATTAGAATTTGCTAAAAATTTGAACAGGTACCGTTGTAAAGCAAATAGTATCACATTTTTTGCAAATGAAAAAGGTACAACACTGAGAATGTGAGTTTCTACAGGGAACTTTCATGAAAGATGGATGCTTAGAACAAAAGTATTTGACGAATGTTTTATCGCCTCATTATAATTGTTATCATTGTTCTGATGATTGAATGATACGGAAATTAACCAACATGATATTAGTACTTGATGAATTTCGAAACAAGGGGTTTGAATTTGAAAAAAACTAAAGACCTTAATAGCAAGTTCGAAAAATTCCAAATTCTTATAAATAAATCCCAGTCTGGAATATATTTCAACTGTAAATTCGTGATTTGGATGCGAGTAAAGAACGCGATTGAATGCTTCTCCAGCGCTGAAATTAAATGCAAATACTTGGTTGTAAGAGAAGTATTAGAGACAATTAAACAAACAGCTATCTTAATCAAGATCTAAAATTATTGGTTTGAAGAGGCCTAGATAAGGAAAATTAGATGAAATCACAAGGATATTTCGAAAATAAGAATGCAATGCAAATTTCATTCATAAATTTCATTCTTGCAAGAAGATATAAATTTAATTCAATTATATTAAAATTCATGAAAATTTTACAACATCTAAATTTTAACAAAAGGAAAAGAAACTAAGAGATGTAAAGGGAACAAAGTTTCTATAATTTTATTCTATTCAAAAATTTCTTTTGGAGCACTGAAAAAGTTCCGTTTTGACTTGAAACCTATGATGTCAAGTTGGAATGGAACTTTTTTTCATAACTGATTAGCTTAACATCTTATCAGCACTCATCAATAGAACGAGAAAAGGTTAGCTAATCACCACGGTAGCACTTCGACATATTTCGCATAACATAGATATATAAAAAGAGTAAAGAGAAAAAGAATGATTTTGAAAATTTTCAAATTAATCAATTCATTTCCACATGAATAGTTCTGTTCGGGGAATAGGTTTACAAATATGGATTTGATTTCCTTATTTATTCGCTTACTATCTACCTAAAGATATGCTCAAAAAATTTTAGAAACCTTTTGTGAAAAAACGCTCAGATAAGAGAGGACAATCTTCCTATCAAATACGGTCAAGCACAATTGACCGGTTATCCTTAAGACTTGAAATTTGCAATAAAAAATGAACATTATTACAAGTTGAAATAAATGGAAAAAGACAAGAAAAAATATAAGTCTTGCCAACTTTAATGATGAAAAGCCTAGAAACATCAGATAACAAAAAAATTGAATAAAGAAAATCAAAGAAAAGTCAGAAATGATAGTTTACATTGCAATTAGTGACGTTTTAATACACTGATGAAAAAGTAATAAGCCAAAGTATCTCATAAAAGGACAGTTGCAGCGGTCAATAGGTCACAACTCATGCAGACATAACATTGCGAATAGTGGACAACATGTTTGGGGAAGTGGAACATAGAATAATAGTAAGCCAATCGATCAGGTCAAAGAAGAAAAACGTGTGACGTAGAGGATGAGTGAGGGACATTTCTCATCTCACTCTTCATTTCCCAGCCTTCTATAATATCCAAGTGTAGGAGGAGGATGGAGGAGAAATGAATGACCGGTTGAAGATTAGTGATTGTTGTGGTCTGCAGCTAAGATAAAGAGGCAGAAATGGGATGCAGGATGCAGGATGCAGGATGAAAAGGATGGGAGAGCTAGTAGGTAGAATGTATAGGGTACAAGTATATCAGGGAAATGCAAATAACTGTGTGAAAGGTCAGCTAAGGACCATAGAAAAGACATTGAAAAAAGAAATAAGGAAGAAATGAAGGCAGACGAGCACTGTAGTCCATTACTACTGACCATCTGTCGGTTTGAAAATTCGAAAATAAATTTTTGGTAGGCACTATTTAAGTCCCATTAATTAAAACATTTAAAATAAGAATGGCAGCTGCCTTTGCGCCATGAAATAAGGAATTCGTCAATAAAACGGTACAATTTCAATTTTCATAAATTCAATTTCTATCTCTAAAAGTTGATTCACTTTTCTGTTCAAAAAAATTCTTTAATGTTAAGTTTTTACTTGCAACAATTTCAACCAAGAAAAACTCGGAAGGAAAAATATGGAATTCTTGTAAGCTTAAAATAAAATGTGAACTGCTCATAGAATCATATGTGGGAATTTTTTCTTTTTAACCCACCACTACAATTTCGAAAAACGAAATAAAATTAAACTCTTTTGAAGTTACCACCGTTACTCCTAACTCCATTTATTTTCCTCGAGTAAAATAAGCATTGAAAAGAGATTAACAAAGGTAAATAATGTAGAATTTATAATTCAGTATAAAATGTTAACTACAAATCATTGCGTTGGAACTTCTAATCATATTACAATCTAATTTTACTAAATTTAAACAAATTAACTATGCTACTTTACTTTTATCTGAAGACTTCCTAACAAATACAACTAAGTATTGGTAATACTTACATTTCAAATGCTTTAAAATGGAAATAAACCATTCCAAGACCAAAATATGAAGCCGGTTCTTTCCAAAATCCATCTTTATTCAGATTATAAGCTTTCTGATAAGATGATAGCGCTAAAAAAGAGATTCATTCAACACCAGCTTATGAGATGCCAGATAATCTCTTTCGAGATAAAATTTATTATCCACTAAGCCAACCTCCTTTTAGCAATGCTTTCGATATATATCATTAACATTTGTATGCCAATGCAATTATAACAAAAATCCATTCATTGGATTATATCCTCATAATTCCTATCCATTATTTTTATTACTTTATGATCAAAATAACAAATGTAATAAACACACTTACCTCTAGGAAAATCCTTTGCCAACAAACTGATATGCCCGATCTTCAAATATACTTTATAAATTTTCGACTTATCTTCTTTTGTTTCAACAAGTTTGATTAATTCATTATCCAAATTCCGTATCCCCTGCAAAATGAAATACTTTGGTGCTAAAGAAACAAAAATAATCAATATTCCTTTCCAATTAGAATTCCGTTTCAAATAATTTTAACAAATTTCTATCTTTATCTTCTTCTTTTATATTTTCATAGTCCAGAAAGAGAACAAGAAAAAAGACAAAGACTGAATATATACTTAAAGGAAAAACAATACCATTTATTAACATCATCTTAGAACAACTGATTATACCATCACTAACGATTCGTATTAGTTTATTACATAAAGTATAATGTCACATATTACTCTATGTATGCGATAATAATAATAGCACTAATAATAGTAATAATAGTAATAATATTATAGTCATAATAATAAAAAACAGCAATAATAATAGACAATCATAAATAATAAATAACAAAAATAACGATAATTATGACGGTAATAGCAATAATAAACGTTATATATATATACATCAGAAACACCTCTGGAATTCATTTTTCATAACATGACAAAAATCAATAGATGATGTGAACCATTTTGAGATCAATGGATCAAATTTCGTTTTACCGGAAGCCATAAATGGCTTATCAAGATAATC